TCCAAAAAAATTTTGAAAAACTAAGTGGTACAAAATGTTTCAAATAATCCCCTGACATGTTTCTGATAGAAAAAATGCAATTCCATTGGGTGCGGGAAACCTACCTTATCCGCCCTCCTCCTTTCTGCCCAAAATGAGACTAAAATAAAGCTTTAGCCATGAGCTGTTTTTGGCCTCGAATGATTTTACTAACGCGATATCAAAATCGCAGAGTTGAAAATTATCTAGTAAGCAAGCCATTTGGGAGAAAGCGAAATATAGCACAATGTCGGATGTACACATCCATATAGGAATTCTTAGTTACATAAAAGTTTTCTTATCAGCCGGTGTTCTTTTAAAATCGTAACAGCTATTCATTTGAGTAACACGTTTACATAAACATTAAACTCTCGAACGATTCTATGCTTATACACGATTCAGCTTACCTTTAAGATATAGTTCTTCTATGAAACTCTAGATCAACTAAGAAAAGTAGCGTTTTTAAAATGCTTGCACTCACAGCGTAATCTCATATTTTTTAAGCTCCATAAAATGTATAAACAAAGGTTAAAAAATACTCTTGTGAAGAAAAAGACTATGTGCTGAGGCAGCACATAGTTAAACATAACTTAAATGGTATATAACATTTAAGTAGGATAATCAGTTTAAATAAATGTCATACAAAGAATAATAAAGTAGATTTAAGCAAATATTATAAAAAAATGAAATGATATAAATTATATTTACTTGTACATTTAACTGTCTCTACCTAGAAAAGATATTCTCGACCTTTTCGATCATAAAGTACAAATGCATGTACTCTTAGTGCTTTTTAAGTATCTTTCGCGATTTAAACACTTTTTGTATTAAGTTTGTTTCTAGTGCTGTAACTCCTAATTTTCAAATATAACTTGGGTTAACAAAAGACGGGTAAAAACCGCAGTCTGTTTGAGCCCTAGGACGCCCGTCCAAGGTCTCAAACGGACTACTGAAAGTCTCACTTTTGGATGGGATGACGGCGTCCGCGCCCCGCAAAAAATGACGCATTAGGACGATAGTCTGAACGCCCGTCTTGTACTGATAGCTGTTGCTTTTTGTGTAAAGCATCTCATCACAAAAGGATCCTTTCAAGACGGCCGTCTGGATGCTCAGCACAGACGAGCGTCCAACGATACGATAGGACGCCGTGTCAGGTACATGAAAATGGACTACGGAAAATCTCACTTTTGGACGGAATGACGGCGTCCGGATGCCGCCATAATTGTAGACGTACCTGGATGTCATGTCCGGACGCCCCGTCCTACGAAAGCAATTGCCATCCACAGAAGGAATCCATAGACAGAATCAGACGTCTATGGCATGGTCGCCAGTTTCAATCTAATTATGAGAAGAGCTAATGTCTAATGAGAGAACACCACGTCTAATACTATTTCTACGAAAGCAGAAATAGTATTCGCTCAAACATTAGCTTCTTCAAATATAACGGATCATGTCGGATAGAATCTTTGGCATTAAATAAGGAGTATAATAGATTAACTAATCACTATCTTTCTTAAAAACTTTGAATATTTCACTCTTTGCAAAAAAGTAAAAACATGACGGCCAAATATTAAGTTGAGACAAAGGGCAGCTGTTAGAAAAAAGATTCTTGTCTGATATGGATATTACACAGGCAGAACTACTGTGATTATTGTAGTACTGATGCACCGGTAATTTTAAGTTAAAATATGCATAAGAAAAGAGAGCTCACTATTGGATCAGAATATGCAAATTATAAAAATCGAAGAGAGAGCCTATTCTTGCTAATCAGTTTTATTTATAAAAGAATAATAAAAAAAGATAACAAAATATACTGCTGTCTTATTTATCTAAATCGGTTCCTTCGAGACGACTAATCTACGTATCACATTCTAAAAGTGTGTCTGCAAGATAATCCAAAGAATCATTTAAATGGGAGTAGCACGGCTAGAATCCTCTCAGGACAATGAAAACGAGATAACACTTGGCTCGTTTATGGTTCATTAATGAGTCATTGACTGCCAATTAATTGGCCATTTTTTGGTCATTAATGGTCATCTGTACATCATTTTTATTCCATAAATGGTACCGTTAATCGGTCGTTTTCACTAATGAGCCATTTTTAGATCATTAATTGGATAGTCGATCAACACTCGTTTTCAGAGATCATAAATATACCAGTGTCACCTCATTCACGTAAATTAGTTACTTTTATCTCATGCGTATGATATAATCACGACCATCTCTCTGAATATTTTCTATTTCACGATTAAAAAAATTTCTATGTTTCTCCCTTATGACTGGCTTATCCACGGAATATCCATGGCTGGTAGTCATGTTTCATATTTGGAGCACAGCACAGACACACAGACAACCATTCTGTCAGATCATAGATTGAAGTTAAGGGAAATGTATTTTAGAAGAAGTAGAAGAAGGTAGATTTTTTTCTTATCGTAAAAGAATTACTATTCATCGTGATTTCTATACTCTGAGGAAGCAAACATCGCGGTGATCCGCTCAGTGTTTTTAATACGAATTTTAAGCAAAGTGGGTTTCCCCAGTTTACCACTGCATATTCCATGTTTTCCCTGCTAAAAACAAAGTGGAAATCGAATTTTCAAAGTGGAAACCCAGTCAAGCGAGACCCACCGTGGATCTCGCTTCTGTAAATTTTCTACTGTTAGTTCGTACTCTGTCCTACAATACTCTCGAATTTCCTGCTTCATTTTTTTCTGTACTTCAGCACGCTTCGAAACGAAATAAGTAAACCATGAGAGGACTGTTGCGGTGGTTTCATAGCCGGCAAATATTAACATTGTGATAT